TCTTGGGGCACTTAGCTTCTTCAAAGACAAAAAATGACTTGTTTGGTGTTTTCTGTAGGAGAATGCAGAAGTATAATTAATACATAGTAAGTGCTAAATGCATATTTTAAAAAAATAAACAAATCTTAAGTCACCAAAGAACTAAAAAAACAAAAAAACCCTTGCCATATTTTCAGGTTACTTTATTATACATAATCCAAAATGTGACCTAGCCAGAAAGTAATTATTAAGCCTCTTTATGTCACCTACTATAGGGTTTCAAAGGTGAGATTATAGGAGGGAGCATATTTTCAAATGCCTTCCACATCCTCCCCAGGCCTCACAGACATGTCTAGACTAGGAGACAAGAGAGGACCATCAGTCATCCTGGTAGGATGGCTACCAGGAAAGGACACTTCTCATGAGCCACGTGAGGAGTTTCTGGGTCTCTTTCCTGCCAATCTCTATCTCAAAAGAGCTTTCCACAGCTGGATTTCAACTTCTTAACACCCCACTTCCATTCTTCCTAACCCTAGCCAACAATCTTGCAGTTTCTTTATCTTAATCCTCTGACAACCAAGGCTATCATCTTTTCACAGATGTGGAGTAGAAAGAGAAGGAACTCTTGGTACCATGGCAGGAAACAAATGAATGTCTCTATAACTTAAAAAGTGGCTACCCTCTCTGGTCTAGAGGATACAGAATGTCCCCCCCTAAGGCCATGGTCCTTTCTAGAATAAGCCTACAGTATGACTGAACAAGGCAAGAGCATGACATACTGAAAGGTTGGGCTCCCACTGCTAGGGCTTGTGTTCAGACAAAGCTAACAGAACAAACAGGATGTGTCTTTATGATTAAAAAGAGGACACCATGTAAAGATAATATAAAAACCACTATAGTTTCTAAATCAACTTATTTGACCCGATCCCCTTTTAATCCAAGATTCAGAGAACTGGCTAAGATTTCCAAGACTTGTTGAACACTTTAAGGGACAGATGCCATCATATGCATGTAGACATAGAAACTTAATTAAGTCTTCATGCAGTACCTGGCTTAAATGGAGAAAAATGAGGCCTTTGTGATAGGATTAAAATGGCACCATGATCTTCAAAGGTAGTGTTTCAATTTGTTAAGATGACAACTTCTCAAGGGCTGGGGATTTAGCTCGGTGGGCACAGCGCCTGCCTGGCAAGCATAAGGTCCTGAGTTCAATCCCCAGTATAAAAAAAAAAAGACAACCTCACACCCAGATCAGAGAAGGTAAACTGGAACACTAAAGAGAATCCATGTGTGAAATGTTTTGGATACAAGATCAGACTAGGTAGCTATGTCAGTGTTGCAACACACATAAAGCCCCTTGAACATAAAGCAAATAAAAACATGTATACATGTATACACGTATGAACACACATGGACATGGTGCTGTAGAAAAGCAAGACATTCACACCCATCAGAAACCCACAATTCTGTCTTGAAGCAAAAATCTTAACCAGGTTATAAATTGCTATCATATTACTATACACACAGTCACTTAATCAAGGGTTGAGTCCTAAGTAACAAAATGTGACTCATGTGTTCAGATTTTTAAAATTCTTTTTTCAGAAGAAAAATGAATATCTAATCAAGCCTGTGTCTGTAGTTTAAAAAACAAGAAAAAATATGTATCATGTCACAGGAGAGAGAGAGCGAGAGAGAGAGAGAGAGAGAGAGAGGCAGAGAGACAGAGAGAGACAGAGAGACAGGCAGGCAAGCTAAGTCTATACTCTTAATCACTGTAGAAAAAAAGGAAACTATTTCCACCCCCACCATCCTTTGCTAGAGAAGGCTCTCTAAACTGTATGGCCATCTATGTCAGGCACTTATTAGACACGTACAGCCACAGAGGATAAGAACAGGTGATGTAGGACATCTTTAACAGTGCCAGATGCTAGAATGAGAGGAACTGCTAGACAGTAGACCGAGATAAAAAATAACTGTCATAAATAGGGTGGCATATTCACAGATCTCATCCACTCCAAGACATGATGAGGGCTGCAAAGTTTATTTTCAAAGACAGAAGTATGATGATAATGATAAATGTTTACTGAGCACTTCTGTGCTGGGAACTTACTTTTATTTCATTTAATCCTCACAACTACTTTCTGAAGTAGTTACCAATGTTCTTTTTAGAGATGTGGAAATGAGCTCAGAGTTAAAAGTTATTTAAGTCACAAAACTTGTGTAGGTTCACTCAACTGCAATGATGCAACATGGCCTAAGAAGTAGACTGGTGAGTTGCCAGGCACCAGCTTAAGAGTCAAACTGCTACATCACCACTTCTCACCTACCTCTAAGTAGCACTAGATCAGGTGTTACTGAAATGGCAGACACCATGCAGCTTCTCCTACAACCACTGCCTGTGTTTCTAAAGTCATGATTCTCATGGATAAGGCAAAGCAGCTGTACCTGCCCCACAGGAAGGTTGGGAAGATTAAATGTGACCTTGTACAGTATCTGGCACCAAGGAAGTTTCTTTTCCCCATCTACTCTAGTGAACAGAGGCCATAAATAGTGCAATAATTGAGAAGGAAAATACCTCCATGGGATAAGGAAATGTTTCAAAGAGATCATGGGGATTGGGGTACAGTATAGCTCAGTAGTGAAGTGCATGCTTAACACACAGGACAGCCTAGGTTTAAAACAATAACAAAACAAAAAGATCAAGGGATTGCCCTTGGTTTTAAATATATTTGGAGAGTACACTGCTAAGGCAGTAGCCTTCTGTTGAAGCATGCAGGTGGGTCAACTCACAGAAGGCCTTATTTATGAAGAGGCTAGACAGTCACACCAGGGATGGCGAACCTTTTAGAGCTTTCAATAACAAACAGCCTGCTGTGGCAAGTGTGCCAAAGGTTCGCCACAACTAACCTACACCTAACTAGCCAGCCCTTACACAAGAGCAATCTTCTGTACATTGCCCTGTAAGTGGGTATACAGCAGAATCTGATGTTCCTTCATGGCCTAATTACCACATTCCTTTCCTCCAACTATTATTCTTCTCTCAGTACCATGATAAGGACAGTTATGAAAAAGAGAGCCTGCTGAACACAATTAAAGATGCTGTGAAGCTGAAGTCCATAGGACTGGACTGTTATATTGTACTCTCAGCAACTGTCATCTCTCTTATTATTCTCTTCACAGTAATAAATGGATTGTTTAATTGGGTATTATTTGTTTTTGGTACCAGGGATCGAACTTGGGTCCTTGCGCTTGTGCAGAAGGCAGCGAAACCACTGAGCTAAATCCCCGGCCCCTAATTGGGTATTATTGATTATCCAAGTTATTTCTGAGCTCATGATAATTCACTGAAATTTAGTTAGTAACTCAATTTACGAAAGTATCTGAATCCACCATTATTTTGCTGAAGTGAACAATCAAAAGCACATGGGAAAAGGGTGGGGGATGAGGCAAGAAGACTGCAAGTTCGAGGGCAGCCTAGGCAACTTAGCAAGCCCATGTCTCAAAATAAAATTAAAAATAGAAGCCAGGCATGGTGGCACATGCCTATAATCCCAGACTCAGGGGGCTGAGGCAGGAGGATTGCTGTGAGTTCAAGGCCAGCCTGAACTACACAATGAGGCCCTGTCTCATACAAGGTGTGTGTGTTTAAACTGTAGCTCAGTATTTGCATAGCAGATAGGGTAACTTTGGTTCAATCCCAGGCCTGAAAAAGACTGCTCTTCTGCAACTGGCCAAATGATAAATTCACATTATTTCTAAAAACAAAACCTCTAGAATTTTAAACATTTCATGTAGCATCACCACCAGATAGTAACCCCTGGAAGGAGATGCCCCTTTGGGAGTGATGGCAACCTTGGAGGAGTCCCAGCCCACCTGTTGCTTAGCAGTGCTGCTATTTAGAAAGCTAGTATTAAATCTCCTCTGACTCAAGAGTCTATAGAGTCTACAACCAGAAATCTGGAAAAGGGTGGAAACATTCTGCAAATCCATTAGAGTAAATTTAGATCATGCATACTGAGTCTGTTCCTTAATTTATAAGTGACATATATCACTTTCTGGGTATTAAGTTTCTAGTCTTGGTGATTAAGCTGGGAGAACTCTGAATTGAACTCTACTCAGAGAACAAATGTGAAAACAAAATACATCATGAATCATTTCTTATAAAACAAAGACTTTTTCTTCCCTTTAGCTGAAGTCTGACAACAATGGAGAGCCACTCTGAATTATCTGTAGGGTGTTACAGTAATCCTCTATCTGCAAGCAACAACTGGCACCTAGATATCATTTACCAATGCCCTGCGACTGGCTTCCACATGAACAGATTGGTTACCAAGTAAATCTTGTGGGTGGGAAATCTGCTCAGGGCAGGTTTAGGTTTCTACGCTCCTCCTCTTCTGTCAAATTAGTGCTAATAACTTACCATCCACACTTAAGCCTTCTGTAAGGGTTTATCATTTAGTATAGTGGATGTCTTTCAAATGCATTATATTTCTACAGCAATTCACACTACAGCAGGCCACTGCTTTTCTTACTTGCATGAATAAAGCAAAGGTGTACTCTATTCAAAAACAACTACTTGCCACAGAAATTTTCTCTGGTGTCCTGCTTTCCAAAATGTAACTATCAAAAGGCCAAGAATATGAGCTTCAGTGAAGGGAATTTGTTCAGTTTTTACTAAGACTAAACTTTCAACTATAAACATTCATTTAACATGGATTTTTATACTGCTTCAAGTCTCAAAAGAGAATGTTACTATCCCTAAGGACTAAATCACTTGTCTCTTTTAAGAGTTATCAGAATAGCAGTATGCTGAAAGTGACAGTCTGGCTCTGTTCTGTTCATTAATGCAGCCCAGACTTGCTGGCCAACTGCAACTGGCTGTAAGTCCTTATCACAAATAAAACCATATTTTTGTGCCATTTCTATTTTTCATTTAAATACCACTAGCTCTTCAGGACTCTGGACCTGTCAAGTGTTCTGCTGCCCAGACTCTGCTTGTCAGAAAGGTCAACATTCAGTACCTTCCAGTTAGGTCCCAAAGGGCCTCTCTTGGTCTTGACTGACTGGAATAACGCTGGGTCTTCATTAGCTTTGTAGTCCTGTAAAGCAAAACAAAGTCAGAGGCAGAGAAAATTCTTTAACCTTGCCAGAACAACTACCAACACCCACAACAGAAACTGATTAAAACTTACTGTAAGTTTTCAATTTTGCTCCTTTTGCTTTAAGCTTTTATCTTAGGCAAAACAACTATGTAATAAGTAATGAAAGCTTTGTCTGGCAATGTTCTATGACTGGTTACTAGACAGCTATCTCTGAAAATGAATTTGTCAACATTTTCCAACCGTTTTGAGCATTTTGATAGGAAGAGAACCATATTCATGAAATAATACATGCCACCTCACTTTTGGCAATTCCTGTAAACGACAAACCTGGACTGTTCACAACTACACAGAGCAGCCACTGTGACTGGACACATAAAACTGACTGTGGCTTCCCTATCTCTTCCATGGCTGGGTCTGTAGGGGAAACTTAAAAGTTCTTGACCAACCCCTCCACATCCCAGTCCAAAGAGAGCTGTGGGCTACTGAAACCTCAATTCCTCATGGAAGAGGGGCTGCATTCATGCTGACCCCTTACTGAGCAGAGGCAAGCAAAAGGTATCATGGGATGGCCTCAGCTACATCATGCCATGGGGCAATGGCCCTAAAATTTTCTTCCAAGGTTCTAGTGCAGTGATAGAGAACCTTTTGGAGCTTTCAATGGTAACAAACAGCACACTGCAGCATGCATGCCATAGGTTTGCCACCATGGTTCTAGTGCATGTAAGCTCTGTTCCCTTTAGTATCTTCTTCCTGACAAAATGAAGGAAACACAAAAATTTTAACCTATCTGCTTTATAAAAGTTCTCTTGTCATTACATGTACATATATTCTACAGAGAGAAATAAAAAGTTACTTTTGAAGTGCCAAAGAAAAATGAGTTATAGTAACAGTAGACAGAGGCCATTGGGTCAATTTAGAATGTGGCAGAGGCAGAGAAAGAAAGAAGGTGGGGGTGGCTCTTCCCTTTTCAAGTAGAATTTCTGGAGAGGGTTCTTCTTAGCATTTGTCAAGGAATCGCATACATTAGGGAAAATGTCCAGGCAAGTTAGATATGAAACTCTAGCAAAACAAAACAAACATAAAAAACCCCCACTGTTCTAGACAATAGGACAGTTCAAGCACAAAGAACACACTGAACATGCTCTAAAGTAAAATACAAACTTTCCAAATCAAAGAAAACATGTTGAGAAGCACTGGAGATTCAATGGTTACTCAGTAAATGCATATGGCATGTTAATTCCTAGGAAGAAAGTTATAAATAAATTATGTGAAGAAGAAAAGATGTGAGTTCCAAGAAGAAATCAAAACTTTAAAGAAAGATAAAAATTGGGTAAATATGTGACCCTGAACTTGAAGCCTGTCTAAAGGTTGTCTAGGAAGCTACAAAAAAGCTCCACAAAATATCCCAGTTTCTCCTATATGAGAAACCCAAAATATAAATAAAGAACAAAATAAAAGTTAGATAATAGGAAGTGTGCATGTAAGTCTTTCTCAAATGAGAAGGGGATCAAGAGCTGGAGGAAGGAGGGACGGAAGGAAAAGAAAAAGAAAAGAAGAAAGATGCAGCCAGGAAAGAAGGGAGGGGAAGGAGACATAAAAGAATTAAGATGTTTTATGTACATGTACCAACTCCCCACAAGGAATGTAATCATTATGAACTATAAACATATATTAATGAAAATAAAAATTTTAAAAAACCAGGCACCATCATGAGGTATAATTATTAAACAAGTTACTTGGCTACACTGGGTTTTAATGTTTAAACAGAATCTGCCAAAAAATGTATACACACTTCAGCAGGTCACTAATTAACATCTGGAAGCTAATGTCCACCACTTTGAGCATCTCTTGTAATTGTGGAGGCCAGAGGTAACTTGTACTGATCTCATGATGTCTTAATAAATTTAATATTAAAGTATTTATACAAGTTTTTCTTTTCCTAATATATATATTTTTTGGCAAACTCTGTATATAATGTAGTATAGCCATGGGCACTGGGTCAGTCAGCACTACATGAGAATGACAGGTTGGGATGAACTGCTTGCAAAAAGCTACACAACTGGCACTCCTCCGTAAGTCTGGGCACATCAGCATTAAGTTCATTTACTGCCATTTAGTATGAATTCTTAAATTCCAACTCAGAAACTGCATCCTAAAAATTTACTTCTGACAGGAAAGAATGAATTGCATAAGTGATCTCAAGACTTGGATTCACAATGAGAAACAAGCCACTCTGCTTTTGTTCTATGTCAGAGGCTTGAAATAAAAATCCAAAGACAGGTTCACTCTTCCCTCAAATTAAAAATTAACATCACATAAAATAATCACCTTCAGCATCATTTCCTTCAACCAAATCTACTGAACAGCATCATGTAGAAGACAGCCCACAGGTTAAGTGGTAGACCTCAAAGTCAGAGGAGGTGAGAAGAACCAACACATAGTTCTGGCTCCGTAAAAAGTTGGGAGAAAGAGAGGCAAACAAAAGAGAAAATAAAACCCCAGAAGTGTTAACAGCCAATGGAGGAATGGAGAGAACTATAGTGAGAATTAAAATTAGTCAAGAAAATACATTTTTAAAGTGAATGTAAAATCATATTTAAAAGTAGAAAAACCACCATTAAGGTGTATCATGTCTAAAATATTTTAATTATCAATATATTGCTCAGAACCCCGGTCAGGTTAATCGTTACCACTTTATTGCATCACAGGGAAAAAATCCTTTCCCCCTCTTCCTACTAACTGGGGTGTAACACTACCATCCCATGACACTCCTGTTTTTGTGCTTTTATTTTTGTTTTTTTTACAAAATCTGAGCTATTATGGAGCAGAGAGGAGTTAAACGGTAAATAGCTATCATTTATATAGGATGCTTCCTCATTTTATATAGCATAAAAAAACATTTAGCGAATAAAACATCATAGCTGGAAGATAACTTTTGATTTTGGATTTATTAAAATCAAAGGGGGAGGGCAGGGATTTAGCTGAGTGGTTCTGCCACCTGCTGCACAAGCACAAGGACCTGAGTTCGATCTCCAGTACCAAACAAAAAAAATATGATGGAGAAAGACAGGAAGAACTTTAGAACTGATGTACCCTTGCACAGAGTGTAGAGTTACCATGAATTTTAAAACTTGCCTACCCCTAGAGAAAGAAAAACAATCCACAAAATGAAGTGTACATAATTACCACTATGGCTAAAGGAATAAAACCACTAACATTATATGGTATGGGTAGTACACAAACCAAAAAACAACTTATTTATAAATCAGGTCTAAAATGTGACCAGCATGAATTCTTTTCATGTAAGAGTAAATTAATGAAGGGACACCTTGCCCCAGGACATAGGCATCAGCGAAGGTGGCAAAGCAAATGAGATTAGATGAACTTCTCTGACAAAACTCCTCCCTCCTAACTCAGCTCCATACCAGGGTGACAGCTTCAGGAACTTCCAATACCTCTCTGACATAGGTTAATTATGAAAGTAGAAAAACACCTCAAAATTTCTCCATTCTGAACCTAATAAACTGTTCCAAAAAGTATCTTTTTGAATCTTCTTTACCAGTGGTAGGTGATCAGTGAGACAATTTTCTAAACTATGGATTGCAGAAGCACAGAGATGAACCTTAAAAACCAGCTTCCTTCATTTTACAGATGAGGAAACCACAGTCCAATGAGGTGGTACAAACACCCTACCCTAGGAATTCAACTCAAACTTTTTTAGCCTCTGCCTAGGGCTCATTCTGGTATAGCACATAGGATGATGGCAAAAGGTGTCAACAAATCCCAGACAATCAAACTACAGCATTTCAAAGACACCAAGAAGCCACAGCACTGCAGATTATCAATGTGACTTTTCCTATGAGGCAGATATATAGGAAACTAAGTCTTTCCTTCTTGAATACAAAGCAGCAAATACTAAAGATATTATACTGAAAATGTAAAAAACCCAATTATTAACAATAGCACTTTAACCTTGACAGATGAGAATAATGCATCTTGTCAAAACTTAGGAATTTTGGTGTTTTTATTTTAGCTTTAATACGTAAATGTTTAATCAGTTGAATTAAGTAGCAAGGTATTAAAAAGCAGGAAAAAGACGCAGTTTTAACAACCTCAGTTTTACATCTCTACAATAAAGAGAATTTTTTAACAGTATCTTCTTCACTGCAATTTTATTGTTGGATTTCTAGTTTGGTCTTTCTGTATTTGAAAACTAGCCAATTTATATCGGTATCACAATGAACAAATATATTCCTTCATGTATGACAGTTTCAGCATACAGAATGCAACCTCAGCTACCAATTATAGCTGCAAATGAGCAATAGTGTGGAATGAGACAGCCTGCTGGCTTTGTTAGTATTCTGTCTCCTTTGGGATCCCATGGGGAAAGGAGAGGCTCTGATGAAGAGAAGCCCTTGGCTCATAGTTTATTGTGCTTGCCACCAGCTGCAGACTTCTCATCTCATTAGTTCTTTTAGAATACTGTGGGTGAAGACAGCTGTAGCCTACTTGAGTCTTCAGCTCCTGGGTATTCTGAAGGCTGAATTTGCTATGCACTTTCTGTAATCCTTGGGAAAAAAGAAAGCAAATTCACTAGGCCAAGGAAATACATTTTTCAAATGAATTTTAAAATCATTTTTAAAAGAAAAAATTTTATTGCTAAGGTGCTTTGTGTTTAAAGTTTTTTATGATCCAACTTTAATTATCTGTATAATGCCCAGAGGCCTGGCCAGGATAAGGGCTTAGCACAACCATCATTATCAAGTTAGGTGTAATGTCCCTAGACACCATTTGCTCCACCAATAACAGTGCTTGAACAACGTAAAAAATACAATAGTATCAACATAAGGTAGATTCAGATTAGTGTTAACACAACTCTATTTAATTGAAAACTCTTATTTAAGTAAAAACGAAAGCAAGTCAAATTCAACACACTCTTTGGAGAATAAAATAAAATATAATATGGTAAATAAATGGATTGCTGAGTCTCCATGCTG